GTAGCTAATTAAGGACTGCCTAGTTGTGGGGCTTCATTATACAGAGCTCTCACAAAGATTACAGTTGGACCCTGATTTAATGCTCTAGAAGACTATCACACAGGCTCGCTAATCAGAGCTAGTTAAACAGCAACAGAGAGAAATCAGGATTCTCAGTCCTGTCAGGCATTAGTTAATATGGATGCAATGTTCACAGTATAGAAACTACAAACAAATCCAAATAGAATTGACAGGCACAACGAATCCAGGGAGTGGACCCACCTGCGCCCACAGCGGCAAACAAGTGGGAAAGGAGGCCATTGCCACAGGTATAGACAAAATCCAGGACATAGTCATGTTCAGTGTCCTGCCACAGAAGAGAAGTCAGTGATGTAAAAAGAAAGGTCGCTATGCTTCAGTTTGTCATTCCACCACTGGAGTCTGTAAAGTCACAGAAAAGGATGCAGAGGATTGCACGGTACTTTTAGATGAAGTTACAGAGTCTTCCTTCGGACCCAGGAGTCTGGATGACAGAAATTGAGCTCAACGGACAGCCAATGCCATTTAAAATAGATACAGGAGCAGTAGTCTCAGCTATCCCTGATTCTTACTACAGCCCATATAAGGATGGGATTTCTCCTTATCCTGACTAAACAGCCATGGGGACCAGGAGACACTACCCTCAAAGTACTGGGATCCTTTACTGCAAAGATGACACTGAAGTGGAGATGTATAGACCAGGAAGTTTAGGATTGGTAATATTGCTGTGCCTTTACTTGGCTTACTGGCTATATAGGCACTGCAACTTGTCCATCGACTAGATGAAATAGTGGGCCAGAAATCCTTGGAGCAGTACTACAGAACCAAATACCCATCGGTCTTTTCTGGTCTGGGAAAAATGTCAGGTGAATATCAGATGCACCTAAAAGCTGATGCCATTCCATATGCATTAGCTACTCCAAGACAGGTACCTTTGCCACTAATGGACAACGTTAAAGAAGAGCTAACACACATGAAGGAAACAGGAGTAATTGCAAGGATTGAAGAACCTACTCTTTGGTGTTCTGGGATGGTGGTTGTGCCCAAACCCAATGGTAAGATTAGGATATGTGTCGACCTCACATAGCTGAACAAGTATATGTGCAGAGAAGGACATATTCTTCCTTCTGCGGAACACACCTTGGCTCAACTTGCAGGAGCTAAAGTTTTCACAAAATTGGATGCTCGGGCAGGGTTCTGGCAGATTCCTCTGGCCATTGAATCATCCAAGCTAACAACTTTTATTACTCCATTTGGATACTACTGGTTTAAACAACTACCTTTCAGAAACTCATCAACTCCTGAATTCTTTCAGTTTTGAATGTCATAGATATTGGATGGCCTAGTAGGTGTCCTTTGCCATGCTGATGATATTTTGATTTTTTGGGACCACCAAGGCACAAAATGATGCAAGAGTGGATGCAACACTCAGAAAACTCCAAGAAGCTAGAGTTATATTTAATGAAAAGTGCATCTTTGCTACTTTGCAGCTTGTTTGTGGGACATGGGATTACATCACATGGAATCCAGCCAGTTCCATCAAAAGTTGCAGCCAACGAGGGGGTCCCAGAACCCAAAGATATCCCCAAACGATGCAGATTTTTAGGCATAGCCATATACTTGGGCTGTTTTGTGCCAAACTTGGCAACAATAACAAAGCCTTTAAGAGACCTCTTAAGTGACAAGAACATATGGCTCAGCAGTTAGCCTTCAATGAGATCAAATCTATACTCAGTTCCTCCCTGATACTGGCCCAATATGATCGCACATGCGAAACGCGTATTGCAGCAGACACTTCATCATATGGGCTTGGAGGAACATTACAACAATGTCAGAAAGCGGGCCACTGGGCCCCTATTGCTTTTGTGTTAAGAGTGCTTGCTCCACCTGAAACTCAATAAACACAAATAAAAAAAAGAAGCACTAGCAGTTATATGGACATGTGAGCAACTCAGAAATTTCCTTGTGGGTCTGACTTTTACTTTACAAACTGATCACAAGCCAACTGTGTCTCTGTTAGGAAACAAATCTCTCAATGAACTTCCATCAAGAATTCAGAGATTTCACCTCAGAATGCTGAAATTCATCTACAATATGGTAGACATCCCTGGAAAAGAGCTATAAACAGCTGATATTCTTTCTAGGGCACCATTACAGACTCCACTGTATCCAGAAGAACTCCACCAGGAGAGAGATATTGCTGTTTATGTGGACGTTACTGCAGATGAGATACCCATATCTGCTTCACTACAAATGAGAAGTCGGGAAGCTCAAGAAGCTGATTCCTCTTGTCAAAAGATAAAGAAATACTGCTTGAAGGATTGCCGCAAGTAAGATTCAAGGACTGTGAACTGGCAAAGTAGCAGCAAGAGAGACTCAATCTCCATGTTGTTGTGAAACCTAAGTCTCTGACAGAGTACTGATACCTTCAACACTACACCAGGAAATCCTAGAGAAGATTCATGATGCTCACCAGGACATTACAAAATGTCAAGCCAGGGCTTGTCAGACAGTTTGGTGGCCCTCCATCTGTGATGACATACACAACTGGGTGGCCAATTGTAAGGTTTGCGCTCAACACTGACCAGTCCCTGTGGAGCCATGCATTATGACTGATTTACCGGATCATCCATGGCAGATGTTGGGAGCTGATTTATTCACCTGGAAGGGTTTTGCTTACATCATTGCTACTGATTATTATTCTTGTTAGTTGGAGATGGTACAATTAGAGCACCACAACAGATAGACTTATAATGGCATTGAAGAGTATATTTGCATGCCATGGCATACCTTCAGTTTTAAGAACTGACAATGGCCCAGAATTTTCTGGAGCCATGTTTAAGCAGTTTGCAGCCCAGTATGACTTTCAGCATGTCACCAGCAGTCCACATATCCCCCGTAGTAATGGAGAAATAGAACATGCGGTGTGGACTGTGAAGAATTTGCTCCAGAAGAATGAAGAGCTCTAAGACACTGCTCAATGCCACTGGAGCATGGATGGAGTCCAGCTGAGTTGCTGATGAGTCACTGACTCCATATAACCCTCCCAAGTATGATCAATGACTTGGTTCCAAAACTTTTTGATCCACAGGAATTTTGTGAGACAGACAAACAGATAAAGGACCATCAGAGATGGAACTATGATGCGAGGCATGCTTTAAGACACGTTCCTGCTTTTTCACCCCAGCAGGAAGTTTGAATTCCAGATCCAGGGGCCCAAGACACCATCCAGGCTAGGGCAGATACTCCTCGTTCATACTGGGTGGAGGTGCCTAGGGGTCTCCTCTGTAGAAATCAATAACATCTCTGTCAAATCCCACCTGTTTATCACACTAGGTCCGGACATGCCTCAGTTCCACCAAAGAGATTACACCTGTGAATTAGTCTGTTCTAAACGAATACTTACCCATGTTTCTGTTTTGCTTAGGTTTCTTTTGTAATTAAATGTGTATCGAGTTTTCCCCTGAGAAAGGGGGATGTAGTAGTAAGGGTTAACTCCCTTACTAAAAAGAGTGATGTCATCCACAGGAAGTGGTCAGTTGACCATTTTGGATCAGGGGCTAGTTGTTGCAATAAAGGCTTAATGAGAACAAGGGGTCTCCCTGCCTCTTCCTAAGATCAAGAATAACACAGCAAGTGCTGTAATATATAAATTAGACTTTTGAAATTGATGCCCATCAATTCACAAAAGGTATGGAAGCGTACCTTGAGGTCAGTGAGATTAAGAACTACTATACTAGAGGTACCCTGGGTATCTATAATCTTTAAGCACAAACCCTTAAAAAAGTAATAGTAAAGAATGCACCTGAGGGTGCTGAGGGAGTTGGCTGATATGATTTCAGAGCATCTGGCCATCATCTTTGAAAACTCATGGCAAGTGGGAGAGGTCCTGGGTGACTGGAAAAAGAAGTGCCCATTTTTAAGAAAGGGAAGATGGAGGATCTGGGGAACTAAAGACCAGTCAACCTCACCTCAGTCCCTGGAAAAATCACAAAGCAGGTCCTCAAGGAATCCATTTCTAAGCATTTGGAGAAGATGATTAGGAACAATCAGCATGGATTCACCAAGGTCAAGCTACGCCTGAACAACCTGATTGCTTTCTAAGACAAGATGACTGACTCCGTGGCTGTGGGAAGAGCAGTGAACGTGATATACCTTGACTTTAGCAAGGCTTTTGATATGGGCTCCCACAACATTCTCACAAGTAAGCTAAGGAAGTATAGGTTGGGTGACTGGTCTGTAAGGTGTTACAGGTACAAGGCATTCAGAGTTTGAGTTGTACCTGTAACATGGAACATGAACCTCTACACAGCACAAATGACTCTTCCAAGAGCCACTTAAGAGGACAACTGCTTTGGCAAATGGGAGGGGAAGGCTAGCAGTTCATAGCTATCAGTCACCCACTGTTTAACTCAGCATTTTATTGAGGTTACTCCCAATTTTCCTCCACTCAGGGAAGATGTTAAACTAGAATTCCTGCTTTATGAAAGACTTGTAGTCAGGCAAGTTGTCTGGTAGAGCAAACTTTACAGGTTCTCCTCTGTAGCCCACAAGACCCACCATTTGCTCATATACTAATTTGTCACTAGGCTCCTACCCAATCTCATTTGCACATGCTATTGGAATCATGCTTCTTGCTGGAATATCACTTCTTTTCCAATGCATTTAATGTCTTCACTGTACAGGGTAACTTGGAAGAGAGACAAAGACCAGTGTTGGAACTAGAGACCCTGTTAGAATTCTAAAACTGGCCCCCAAACATGTTTAAAAGGAAGTGAAGAGTGCTCCTAATATGATGTGTGAAGTTGTTCTGGTGCAAAGTGTGCATCCACAGCTTCTGATTAGCAGATTCCACAAAAAAAGAGGTATACAAAAAGTCATCAACATTGCAAATGCTGGCTTTGTGTTGATGCAAAAAAGAAGCATTGTAATTTATCCACAGCATGAAAAAAGAATAACCTTCTTTTCCACTGTCTTGGCAGACTTCAAGATCAGAAGGGCATACCACCCCTGAATGAACAGCCAGCCCCATGGGCAAGGAAAACAAAAGAGGGCCACTGACAATATAGCAGCAAAGATGCAACAGAGAAAGAAAGAAAGTAAAAAAAAAAAGAAATGCAGGGAGATCCAGGAGGTGCAGGAGGAAGGGGAACAGGGAGAGATGGAGAATGCCCTATCAGGAGAGATTTGATAGGGAGCAGAACCATATACTTATAGGATGTCCTAGTCACCATGATTCTCAATTGGTCCCAGCATTTATATACTTCTTGCCCACATAGTCTTGAAGAAGTACCTGTTCCTCCAGCCTCTCCAGTGGGCTGTGCCTTGCTACAAATAATGCATAGATTTCTAAACTTTCAGAGTTACTTAGGCAATGGAGTAGTTCAGGAACAGAGTTGGAGGTGCCAGACAAAGTCTACATGCTCAGTCCTGTGGAGCCCTGTGCAGTACATGGGTGGGGGGAGGAGAGCCAGGAAAAAGGCTATGGTTAACTAGTACTACAAGTATTAATGAGGTCTGTTTCCAGGTTCCTGTGAGGTATTGCCAATTTGGGGGTTTTGTTGAACCTTAGTTAGGGCTACTAGTTGCACCTTGCCCCCGACTTGAAGAAGCCCAGACATCTGGAATAAGTTTGGAATGGATAGCACAGACAGTTGGTCAGCCTACAAAGCCTTTTGTTTCCTTTGAACTAAAACTTACTTTTCTGTCTGAAATTGGTTGTTGTCATGGTATGTGCAAAGAAATAAACATCTAAATTATGCAGAAAAGTGATTTTATTAAACTATCAAGAACACAGCATATGGAAACCAATTTACCTGGCACCCCAGGGTTCAAAACTCATAAACACAAAGATTTAAACTAAAATTGATTGCAAGAGGCAAAGCCTTGGAAATCTGAACATCAAGATGAAAAAGGCTGTAGCTAATGACAACCAAAAATTCATAGAGAATAAGCAGTCCCAAAGTGATTACAGCAACCCCCCCCCTTCTGCATTTTGAAATAATAGTTCATAGGCTACTATAGTTTATAATGTGAAATTACAATGGGAAAGAAAAAAAATACACCCGGTTCCTTATTCACTTTGAAAGCAAAACAAAGCAGATTGAAGAGAAGGAACATAGCAGGTTCTCTGATCAAATCTACTCAAGCAAGAACCATGCATATTTCCAGTGAATTACTCATCAGTGCCATTCTATCTGGCCAGGCTTGGACACATATGGCAATTTCATTATATCCCTTGCCTCCCTCTGTACCGCCTGACAGTGTCAGTATTGATGGTTGCACTTTCTGGTTGTGTGAACAAGTCCAAGCAAACCATCAGTGTTAGGTCCATCCAAAACACTTACCTTTAGCCTCCAGATGTTATGTGGAGCACAGCAGGCCACAATCATATGCACAGCACTTGTGACATAATGTCATCCAAACACTTTGTTGACAGCACCATTTTGCTTTCAGCCTATGAAATGCACACTCCATCTTTGTTGACAGCACCATTTTGCTTTCAGCCTGTCAAATGCACCCTCCACCCCCAGCCTGCCATAGCTAAGTGTGTAACTAAATTTTCTTTTCCCAGTTATTTGAGACCAGGGTACAGTTTCTTAGGCTGCACCAGGAAAGGCCAGGCAGCATCCTTCAAAACTACAGTGGGCACCAACAAGCCCACTGACAATCTCAGTCAGAGGGAACAGGATCCCAGCTTCTCAGTAGGAGGTCTAGTTAGTAATTTGGCATCATGTGCCTTTCCTGTACTTCCTGCACTGGTGTTCATAAACCTTCCTCTGTATGCACCAAGCTCTGCAGAACCAGGGAATAGTACCCCTTTCCAGTTAATATTTGCTTCCTTCCTCCAGAGGCCAGACTATAAGCACATGTGCTTTAACAATGGCCCCCGCACAATTTGGTAACCCCATTCCCTGCAAACCAGCTGTTATTGCAGAGACAGTCTGTAAGCCCACTCCCTATGTTTAGGCTACAGTAATAACCAGTAGCATCAGGATGGGTAGGTGAGTGGGGCCCAAACCCTGGGCATTGCCAAAGGTAGGGAGGTGCCTCACCCTTCTATCCCCTACATTTCCTCCTCCAACCCCAGCTAATCAGGATCAGAGGGCTCCTCTCAAACTTCAGAAGGGGTAGAATCCCTTAATCCTGAAGCTCAACGAAGGTCTGCTTCATCATGTGTGAATTCAGGAGCCACAACTGCTCATCTCAGATCTGCAATATGGTATGATTCAATCATACTGTGCTAGTTCTCCTATATCAAAAGTACTGACATACACATGGCAACCACTCAGAAATTACACGTGGGGACAGGCAAAATACAGCCCGCGGGCCGGATCTGGCCCTCCAGACACTTTCATCCGGGCCATGGAGACCCCCAACAAATTGTGCCCTGCCAACCCCTTCTGCCCACAAGGCTGGGAGCAAGGCACCCATATGTACACTTGCCTCCCAAACATACCCTATGGCCTTGCTTTCACCCTCAGGGGTGTGGGGTGGGGGCCTGCCTGGCCAGTGTGCAGCTTCTGGGTGGGGCTGCTACTGCCACTGCTGCAACCCGCAGGGACCTGCTCTGCTCCCCCAGTCTCCTGCTGGCTCTGGGCAGCAGGTAGGGAAACAGTAGGGGCTGGGCTGCAGCTGGGAGGGAGCCTGGACTGTGGGGCTGGGGCTGGCAGCAGCATGGAGCCCACACTCATGGGAACAGGGGGCAGCAGCAGCGCGGAGCTGGGGTGGGCAGCGTGTAGGTGTAAAGGAGGGTGGGGAGGGTGTGTGGACCTTCCCACACTCCCCCATAGCACACAGCCCTGGCAGGTGGTGGCTGCATTAGCAGCAGCAGGTGGGGCGCTCAGAGCACAGGTGCCCGGTGGGACATGGCTCCGGCCAGCGCTGCACATCCCCTGGGCTGTCTGTATTGCCAGGGCTCCCCACCACTCATGCACATCCCATGCACTCGCACGGCACAGGAGGGAAGCCCCACGTGCTGGAGACAGCTGCCTTCCCACCCATCCCGTCAGGGGAAGGCAGTTTGGGCTTCGCTCCCTGCAGCACAGCCCACCCTCTGTCACACCCACACCCTGTCCCCACAACCCCCCATATATACACAATCCCCACACAAACCCCCACATCCTACCACACCCCCCCATACATGCCCACCATACGCACACACCGCACATACACATACTACACAATACACATACCATATACAAAACTAAGAATTTATTTTGAGTTATTATGCAATCACCTCTCTATACAATATGCAAACACAAATCATGACACAAGTATTTTTTGTAATAAAATTAAAATATTTTATAGTAAGTGTTTGACTTTTAGTATACAATTTGTTTTTTTCCTAGTTCTAAGATGGCAACCCCCTCCCCCCCACAAAAGGAGTACCAGGGGAGGCCAAGGGGAGGGACTTCTGGTGGCAAAGGTCAGGGGTTAGGGGTGGGACTTCTAGTCCCAAGATGGCGAGGGTGGGGTGCAACTGTCAAAGGGTAGGGCTACCCATGCAGACCTCAATAGCTCACCAAAACTTGTTAATTGGCCCTCCACCCAAAGTAATTGCCCACTCCTGCATTACAGCATTCAACATGTATGCTCAATCTGCCATAAAAACCCAGTCTTCAGCATCCAAGTTCTGCAACTGCCTATGTTTAAGTAAGGCCAACAAAAGTCAGTATGCAGACATGCATGCACCCTTGAGTGTAGCACAGATGACCTACAGTCACAAGTAGCTCATTTAATGGGTCCAGGAGAACTGCAAGAGCCTCAACTATGTACAATGGTAATAAGCCAAATCATTTCCACCCTTGTGGCCCACAATACACCACAAGCCAGTTCCTAGTAAGGTACCACTAGGAAATCTGGATATACCTCCACACATCCTAGTGTCAGACATGCATACCAGGAACAACATGACATGCAATATGTATAATTTATACAGGTATGCAAAGCACATGTATGGTAACCCAATATAGAAAGCTGGGGGAGGGGGGATGTAATTTGGAGAAAGAAAGTGTATGCTATAAAGACAAAAAAGTTGTAAAGGACAAGAAAACCAGGAAAAGATGCAAAACAAGGAAAATTCCAAGGGTCAATCTGGGTTATAAAATTTTGGAGCAGTGAATCTCAACCAGGATACTACATCACCCAGGGATTACTGCTAGTTCCTTTTCAGGGTGCCGCACAATATTAGCACAGTTAGGTATGCAAACACCTACAAATAGATTTCAAATAGTATCAAAAACTTCCTGACCTGTTGTGGCCTGAGTTCTTTGCAAAAGAAAAAAATACTCTATTTCTCCACAGTCAAAAAAAAAAATGAGCGAAAGCTAACAGATGGCATTTTTTCATGGATGCCTTGAGTCTAATGAGGGGGCCTTGAGTCTAAAAAGGAATACCTTGAGTCTAAATTAGTTGGGAACTACTGTTTTAGAGTGTCCTTCAACTTCCTGCCTTTCCCACCCCATAGTTGCAGAATCTTGTGCCCACACCTCTTCTATACTTACCCACAAAGTGCAAGTGAAAATTACCCAATATGAATGTACCAACAAGCATCAATGAACATACAGCACTTATATGAGGAGAGAACATTTATTTTACAACCACTCAAGGCTTTGGCAGGATTTTCTTTTTTACCCTCAGTCACTGATAGAGTGGTACTCATGCACTTTCTTTTCCAGCTTGACCATCCTGGGTTATCCGTTTGTAAATAACCAGGGGTGGAGGAAACAAGAAGGAAAACTATAATGCCAGGGGTAGAAGGCTGAGACTGAGACTAATATATTCTTGTGGAGACAAAGGTAGTCAGTGCCACAATTTGTGGCATCCCAGAAAGTGACGCTGATGCAGATTGTGACAGCCTATAAATATAAGTGGTGTACCTTAGTGGGAGCCCATAGCCCCACCACTCTGGAATCCACAGTTACTGTCTGTTGGTTTCTGAGTGGTATGACCGGAGCATGCCCCTGGCAGCTGGGGGGGCATGGCTGCACCGGCAGCGATACGAGTGAGGCAGTAGGGAGCAGGGAGCTCCTGCAGATGCTGCCAGCACTATCAGCAGCAAGGTGGCAGGGTTGTGAGCACCAACCAGGGGTTGGTGACCATCCGCAGGCAATGCTGGCAGTGTCAGCAGCATCCAGGGGCAATCATTTTGCAGGGGGTGCACTGCTACATGCAGGGGGTGCGCATGCACCCGCGTGCACACCCTACACATTGCCCTGCTGAGTGGAATGTTAGGTACTGGTTTTGAACCTCTAAGGCACTAAGTACAGACAGTCAAAACAGCCTGAGGCTGAATAGATTCAGTCTTTGCAGGTTAGTTTAAGCTGCAAAGATTAAACTGAGAAACAACTGGACACGCATTTACCTTTGATTCAGGAAATACAGCCACATGCCTGCAGTGGCTCAGGCCAAAAGCCAGGGGGCACTAGAGCACAGCTCTCTCGCACTTTCTCTTCCTGCTACCCTGAGGTCTGTGGGATTCGCAGTCCAGCATCACACCAGCAGGACTCTGCAGAGTTGCTTATCACTTCCTCTTCCTGCTTCCAGGTGCCTCTGGGATTTGTAGTCCACAGTCACAGCCAGCAATACCTTTCAGTAAGTTTAGCAGAGCAGCTCTATACTTGGGGGAAGGGGGATTTAACCCCCCCCCCCTAGCTCCAGACCTCAGCCAGGGTTTGCCTAGGGGGAGCAGTCCTTGCCTCCCCTGGTCCCTGTAACCCTTCTCTCTCAAAGCAGACAGCACATCCTAGCCCAGGCTGCAAAGCATGCTGGGGAACTGTGATTTAACTTGAACCAGGAAGGGGTCTGGGACAGAAGTTTTATAAACCAGTTTGACCCAAATCAGTTAAGTCTGATACTA